GTAAAGCAACTATAAACACATGAAAAGACCTAGGTTTACAATTTATGATTAAAACTCTACTATCTACACAATATACATAGACATAAAATGTAAAAACTTAAATATTTTAGAAACAGTAGCCAATCAGTTGTTTTAATTGTCATATTTGAATTCAGCACATCAAAATACATAATAAATTCGCTATTTTATCTCTGAAGCAGACGACTTCTCAAAAATTGTAGACCAGTGTAATAGATATTACACTTTCTTTGAAAAAAATCTACTCCTGTTAAAAAAAATGCCAAATGTTAGCATGTCTGACAATGAAGAGCTACAGGATACAGCCAGTTCCCTGCTGCCATATAAACCTTCATCACCTTCCATCACATGCCTGACTTATGCCCCTAAAAAGTGTAAAATTGTACACAAAAGTCACAATAACAACTTACTAGGAGATTGATTGTTTGAAATGTAAGCTGAGAATGGGAAATGGCTTTTTATTATCCCGCAGGGCTAGATATTAACCTTAAAATCAAGCCTGAGGAGGGGACAATACTTCCCCAAGAGCAGGGCAGGAATCAGACTGACTCTGCCTGTAAGGCTACACTTCAGTTAAACACCTGTGGATGGCCCATATCAGCTGATTCAGGCTCGAGCTGGGGGGGCTGTAAAATTGTAGTGACTGTACATGTTTGGGCTGGAGCCCAGGCTCTATGATCCCATGAGAAGGGAGGGTACCAGAGCCCAGGCTCCAGCCTGAGCCCGAATGTTTACACTGCAATGTTACCGCCCCACAGCCCAGGCTCCGCAAGCCTGAGTTAGCAGGTGTTTAACTGAAGTATAGACATACCCTGAGTATCACAATCAGCTTCCTGCTTCCCTATTGTTCCCTTTTGCTAGTTCAGTTTACTTTACCCTCTGCTCTGGTGAACTTGTTGGGTGGGAGGCAGAGCCAAGGCCCCTGCCTTCCCCCTTCCTCCTTAAGGCTCTGGTGTTGTGGACTGTTCCGAGGAGTAGGGGGATCCCTATATTCCCTTACCCATTGTATGGGCACAAAGCCAGGCTCACAACTGAGCAGGAACTAATTTATTATTTTGACATTTGGGTATGTGACCCTGTCTTCCATATGCACAGTAGTAGCCATTACTACAAGATGACACAAATGTGTATCAAATATTTTTTTGGGGGGGGGGGGAGATATTATACTGGATTACCTGAGAATACCTGTAATTGATCACTAACAGCCAGACTGTAGCTGAGGCTGTGTACCTGTTCAGGGGGATAATGTCCTCTCATGGCCTCCACTGACCTTAGGTTTGGGTCTGTAGTGATAAGCTGGTAGTGCATGCCCACTATTGCCCTCCCTTTCCCAAAACAGTGGATAAGAGGGGTGGGGATGATAATGTTGGCTAGTAGCAAATTATTATGCTTCTGTGGTAAGTGGTGTGGCACACAATATGATGTCCCATACCCAGGGCTTATGGTAAAAACACAATTTAGCCCTAAATCATACTAGATACACAAAGGAGGGCAGAGTTAACATTATTGTTGCAATCCTAACTTCTGAGTGCAACCGTAACATTCTTTTAATGTTATATTATGTATGAAATTTCCTGTTATCGTCTTAAAGAAAATTAAACTACAAATTCCTTCAGGTACAACTGTTTGTAATCAATGGAGCAGAAACCCTGTTTCTTTCCCTATTTACTTTTGCTCTTTGAATAAAGAGACTTCAAGTCCTGTCTCCTGCCCAGTGCATATTTACTTATGGTATGAACTACTTCTCTACATATGTTCAGCCTTCCCTACACATCTTCACATTTTGTATAGAAATTGGAAACACGCCCTATAAACACTCTCTATAAACTTCCCTAACATGTCCATGCATGTGCATTGTCTGTGGAACATTGACAAACAGATACTTGATCATAGTTAAAAAGACAATGTGCATATATAAAATATATGTTTGGAACCTTTTTTTTTAACTTTCACAGATCACAATTAGTTCTTACGAAACCCCAGAAAAGCACATTACCACCTAGAGACTACATACCTGCAGTGCTTCAGGATTCACAGAGACAAATGCTGAGACACTATTTTGTTCAAAATATGTATATTTGGGAGAAATGCATTTTCTCTCTCTCTCTCTTCATTTTTTAAAATGACTGAACTAATTTTGCTCAAACTTTTATTTTAAAAAAAAATCTCCTGGACTGAAAACAAATGTGCTCAGTTTCAACATTGAACGGTAAACAATTGAGAAAGCTTCAGAGTTGGCAATACGTTCTTTCTTTCTGTTAGAACAGAAACACCCATGAAAACTTAACTCCTTAACTATAGGTGCCACAATGTGCCATGAAATTATTTTACTCTTTTATTGGCTCTATTTTTTCTCTATTTTTTTTTAAATATTTAGCTTTTTTCTTACTGAGTCAACAGCCTCATATCTAATGGGAAATTTATACTTTTTCTAGCCACAGTGCTAGTTACTAATCAAGATGATATTTGACTAACAATAGGATTTTGATTAGTGGTTAGTAAGAGTTACTCTACCAAAGTTCTGTTTTCACTTTCCAAAATACTGTTTTTCATGTACTTTTATGTTTGCTTGTATGCATGTAAGTAGCATACTGTACTTTGCAATCAAGAGAACAAAAGAAAATCAAAGAAATGCCCACCTTACTCAGTGTGGCTTTTTCAATTTTTATGTTACACATATCTCCCACTATGGTTCTGATTGATAGATTTTGAAGCTAAGATTGACAGCATGTAGGATGTAATCAGTAGGAAGAAGAGTAGAGTGTTCAGCTTACAGAAGAGTAGCCTGCCTGCACAATAGCACTAGGAGTTGTCACAGTTGCCTGCCTGTTAGTGCACTTGAAGGAGAAAATGATAAACAATGGCTGTGAAACAGACCCAAAAAAGTGATGTAAGTGCTGCCTTTTTAAAATTATGATTTGCAATGTGGGTTCCTGCCTTCAGGAGCTTGATTTCTTAGCTTTAATGTTGCATTAAATGCTAGTTTCTTACATGAGATGGGTGGGCAGATAGGGATGGAGAGACAACATTGTTATGGCTTCTGAGCAGGCAAGA